CAATTCATCTACAGCAATATTGCTTGCTGAAATTAAGAATGTTTGAAACTTGTGAGAAATGTTGCCCGATAATGGTTCCATCTTTTGATACCACCCAGTACATGGGAGGGATTTATAGGGTACAGAAACATGAAAGTATTGCTTAATTTACTCAAAGCGAAACTTTGACATATACTTCCCTATACTATGCTGAAGCCACTTATATGTTTTCGCCCAGTAGTCAGTATATTGGGGAGACTGCCAAACCTCCATATATAGAATCAGAGCCAGAAATACACGTAATTCTGAAGCTGAAGTATTATACCATCTTCGCTTATATGAATCTAAGCACCCTTACTCAAAGTATATCTGTTGGTATTCTGAGCAAGAATTTCAAGCTCTGGCTCATCAAAAAATAAGGTAAAGAAGTCCAATGTGCTGCTTTAATTGCTTGAAATTGTATCTAGAAGTTGAAGGTAATGCTCATGTGGAGGAGCTGGGTGTTTCAGGAATTCGAACTCAGGTGGAGCTGGTAGAATATTTGACAATCTCTTTGGTATGGCGTCTTTTTGAACTATGATGAGCTTCAGGTATATCTTCTTCACCTTCCTTCTCATGACCATCACTCTCATTAATCACAGAGACTACCTCCACTGCCTCTGCTACTGCTCCGTCCCCTGCCTCTTCTACTACTGTCACTATTCCTATTATATTCCTCCTCATGATCTACTTGTTCCTCAACATGATCTACTCTCTCTAGCAATTTCACCTCTTCCTCTATACTCTCATTATCAGACTCAACATCCAGAAATACTAATTCCTCGTCTAGTTCCTGGTCGGTTTCAAGTGTGGTAGTAGTACCACCCGGGGTGAACTGTATTGCTCTTTGATCCGCCGGAATATGTGCATAGTTGGCTACCTGAAAGGTATTTTCCAATTCCATACCGTCTTTAATTTTTTCAGTATACCTATCTCACACCACTATTCATATGCGCAAGCTACTCATACATGGCGATGATATTTTTACTGTGGTTGCATCTTCACACCCTTTCCTCAATTGATCTTCTTGATACAGGGCAAGGTTGCTGTTGATCCTCACAGCAGCGCAACGCTAAAAAGCTGCGAAATCTGCACACAGATTAAGGGATGAGATTCAAGAAAGCCTAGATCACGAACGCAGTGTTGAACACTCCCAAACCCCCTTTGCGTAGGCATCGCTTTCTCTTGCATACCGAGAGATAGTCTGTGAGGCTACCAACCCCCCTAAATCCTAGTGTGCGGGTATAAGACCTAACGCGTCCTATTCAACACAAGAATCTACATAGACTCCTAGCCTTCATCACGCGGGAGATATATTTCAATTGTCATACGTCCTGATTTCTATCTTACCCAACGCTCGCTAACAGTCCAGTATCCCACCATGCATTCGAATTCATGGAGTCAGACAACTGCCCGAGTGGGCAATCTGAACGGGCGTAGGCGCGAAGTTGTACTGTACCCGACAGCATAGGATCCAGTCAGCCAACTCCCCAAGTGGGCAATCTGAGCAGACGTAGGCGCGGCGCCGTACCCGACACCATGGTATCCAGTCAGCCAACTACCCGAGTAGGAAATCGGAACAGGCGTGGACGCAACATTGTACCAGAGGGGTCTGGATCGGGAACGCAGCAGAATGAACCAGGCAGCTTCCATAGTACGCCACACAACGACCAGTTATCAAGTCGGAATTCTTGCCCACCACTAATTGCTGGACGTCTTGGAGGAAGACCGCCAAAGCGCCCACGCAGGAGCACAATTCAGACCACTGCGTATACCGAACCTGAGATGGAGCCTGGTGGACAAGGACATCTGGAACCTCTTCATATTAGCGACGATAGTGGCGATGAGGAGTACCATAATTCAGATGACGGGGAAGAAACGGAACCAGACACCGAACCTGATGTAGAAGTCCTCGATGGCGCAGATGGCACTCTATCCGGACGACGTCGGGGGTCTCAAATGGCTGAGAGACAGGGAAACAATGACTTAAGGACCGTGCGACTTTCGACCACCCCCGGATCGCAGGACGCAACTCTTTTCCGGCGGACCCCCGCGGCTCGTGTAAGGATAATTCCGGGCAGGGCCTACACCCCACCGGCGTTCCCGTCATCAAGTACAGCACGGTATTCGTCTCCACTTGGAATCCCTAGTACTACTACATCTGGTGTTAGAAGCTCGAGCCCACCAACAAGCAAACTAATTACACCATAGCCCGGGCGCATCAGGGGTGTAACCAACTCACGGCGAAACACGGTGACCGGGGTAGAAGGAGAAATAGTAGTCGTGGCAAAGTATCTGATGCTTCAGTACACCCTCTTTGTTGATCCACTCCCGGACCCGGTTACTTTGATGTCCGCGGTACACGGTGCATGGAGTCGCGCGCAGGATGAGATTGCTGACGCCGGGAATATTGAAGCATCCGAGAAAAGTGTTGACCTTGTAAGTGGATTCGGACGTGATAAGATACAGGGTGTTTTACTAACTATCAAAGATACGGCAAAAACACTCGGCCGTGCGGGGGCAATTCGTATATTATATAAAAAATAACAGAGAAATTATACGAATTGCGAGGTGACCTGACAGCCATCGCTCGTAGGGTCGAATACCTCCTCGAAGAGGACAGGTTCATGTGTTCCTCAGATGGATATGAGGTTGGTATCACGGATTGAGAAACCTGGACTTTAGATCACTACTGACTATGAACTGGGTGTAGGAAATAACCTTCCGGTTCCTTGCGCCCCAGATTGCTGAGGCAATATATGGTAAGTATTTCGACGGCAAGAGAACGGCGGGGATTTTAAACCCAGGTTTTTTAGAGTTTATCAATGAGACAATCGTCTGCCTCACATGCGCAATACTGTGCCATACCCTGCGGACATGGCGAACTGGGGCACATCTTGACCCTCCGGAGTTCAAGTCTGAGGCCGTCAGAGGTAAGAGTCTCCTGATCTCCGGGTCTTTCGTTCCTTTCGTTTAAGACGTAGAGAGCTTACAAATTTCGCAAGATCTTTTCTTACGGCAGAGGAACACTTGGCGGAGGTTTCCAAGGGCGACGCCAGAGCTGATGCTCCGGAATCTGCGTGAGACGATCATGGATAAGGTTAACCGAGAAAATCGAGTTCTGAAGGAGAGGCGCGAAGGCTTTGTCGACAATCATGAGGCAGTTCATGCGGAACTGGAGCGTCAGCTATCCAGCCGGAATCCGAGACGAGCCGCTGTGCGAGAACCAACACCAATCAACACTGGCGCGAGGGGCCTAGTAGGACACCTGGAGAGTCAACTGGAGCGTCAGCTATCCAGCCAGGAGCCCAGACAAGCTGCTACGCGAGAACCGACACCAATCAACACCGAGGGCAGGGGCCTAGAAGGACACCAGGAGAGTCAAGATGCGTCGCAGGAGAGCGCTAAGTCGTTCGACCTTAGCCAGACGGCCTTTGCTCGGGCGCTTCAAGGCTTGGACGCTGAGTCGGTGACTTTTCATGACTCGCAAGACCTGATCCTGGAGCAGGAGCAGGTGAGCGCTACCAACCCAGATCTAGCCAGTCGCCTCTCCCTGAACCTGGATAACTTTCAGGAAGATCAAGCAGCTGCGGGGGAGAACGTTCGCCAAAACGGCGACAAGGTCATGTAGAATAAATAGATTTAGTAGTAGGCCGAGCGGTGTGAGGAGGACGTAGTGATGGGCACAATCATGCTCTATCATCGAGCATGATCGTGCCCATCGTGCCCATCGCTAGCAGGACGTCGAGGCGATCACAATGTAATAGTAGTAGATAAAATAAAATATGGGAATAAAGCTTAATAGAGTACCAGGCGTGGAGTACTAGTAGTGATGAAGTCGTGAACCAGCGTCAAAGATGTATAGCAATCTCGAAGGCATCTGGAAGATAGACGTATAGAATCTCGATGACGTCAGGAGGCTTTGGCCTAGCCTCAGATGGTATCCTGCAGGCGTCAAAAGAACACGGAGCAGCATCGGGACGTAACAGCAAACGTAAGCTGCATCATGATGCGATTGGTCGACAAGGAGATCGTCAGGAGGTGAGAGGCAAGGAACAAAGGCCGTCAGGATGCGAGAGGCTAGAATCTGAGGCCGTCAGGATGTGAGAGGCTAGAGTCAGAAGGCGTCGGGACGCAGGGGTGGAGCATTGGACGTCTTCAGGAAGCAGAGAACGCAGGAATCGACGTCGGGATGGCGTCAGGACGCGGTGTGACGGGATGGCGACGTCCGGACGGAACGTCACAGGGACGTTGCGTCTAGAATCACGGTTGACGTTTTGAGCGTCCCGAGCGTCAGAAGCACAGGACGCATATAATAATTTTTGCTGATGTCCTAAGTGATAGATATCGAATTGTAGGTAGAATAAGATGTATGAATTCAATTGTCTCTATAGCCACCTCATTTAAAACCTTACTTGCTTGATCACAACTGACTACTATATCTTACCTGAAGACATTTAAAAGTAAGAGTTTTCCTTACAGGTCTTTGACCTTGGAATAGGATTTGTTGTAAAAAGGTAAATTTGAGTTCATTAGAAAGAATTGCTAAAAGTTGTGCTTTCACTGATGTTCAGGGTATCTTGATAGTTGTATAATGATAGGTGGTCTGTCAACACATTTCATATTTTATTCTGTTTACATTCTTTACTTACATATCTTACTGACCTTTTACCTGCCATCCTGACAGGCAAAATTTGTATTATATGGTAAGGTAAAGTAGTTGTAACTGATTTTGGTTATGCCAAGCTTATATGAAACAGCAAAGTATGATAAGCGAAGTTTTTCCAAGTTTTTCAACTTTGAATACCCCTACGAGTACTGTATGATTCCATTGCTAAACGTGGCCATCTGAGCACCCTGCAGCCCTAGCAAAACTCGTGCAGGGGAAGTGACAACCCTTAAACTTGAACCCCAGGTGTTCATGACGCTTTTGTTCCTACCCACCCTTACCAAATTCCCCGTCCTAAACATCGAACTCAACGATGAGTAGGTATGGTGTCCTTGTAATTGGGCCAGCAGGTTGCGGCAAGGTACAGTTACCAAGTCCCTCAACTAATATATACTCATTCCATGCTGACGAGGAACACAGTCAACCTTCTGCGCCGCTTTGATCTCTCATATCGCAAACACCAAGCGATCATGTAGTACCCTTCTGTAGCGCTCTTCTTAGGTTCTTGGGTGCTGATGTGAGAAGGTTTGTATGTGAATCTCGACCCTGCTGCTACCGACTTTGAATACGAGCCTGCAGTCGACATAAAGGACCTAATCACACTCGACGATGCAATGGAAGAAATGGGACTCGGTCCCAATGGCGGATTGATGGCCTGTTTTGAGTTTGTTCAACCCACAACCTTAGCTTATCTTACTTGTGGCGCCCGCTGACTTCTCCCTGCCTTTAGGTTCTTGATGGAAAACCTCGACTGGCTAGATTCCTCGCTCGATGATGTCGGCGAAGATACGCTGGTGATTTTCGACTGCCCCGGCCAGATAGAACTCTACACTCACGTACCAATCCTCCCGAACCTAGCGAAACACCTAACGGGCCACTTACAATTTTCTCTTGCCGCTTCGTACCTGCTCGAATCTACCTTTGTCATTGACAAGTCCAAGTTCTTCGCTGGCACGTTGAGTGCGATGAGCGCTATGATCATGTTGGAGATTCCGCATATCAATATAATGAGCAAGATGGATTTAGTCAAAGGACAGTACAGCAAGAGGGAACTCAAGAAATTTTTGGACCCGGACCCCGGGATCATCCTTAGTGATGTGCACAAGGACACGAATCCAAAATTTCATAGGCTTAATGAATGTTGGTAGACCATCCCGGATCCCACAATTTCCGGCCAATCCCTCAAGAGTTATCCTGACTAAGAATGGCAAAATAGGTGTCGTTGACCTGATCGACGATTTCTCGATGGTCCAGTTCCTTCAACTCGAGAGTCGGGACGAGGACAGTGTTCAGGGAATCTTGAGCTACATTGATGACTGTGTTGGCTGGTCCGAAGTACAGGAACCGCAGATCAGGGATGAACCTGAAATGGATTACACAGAACTAGTCGAGGATTGAAGCTTTCTCTTTTTTGCTCGCTACAATTTTCTGATGGGAGGTTCGCAAAACGTTAATCGTATGGCGCTTTGGCTTAATCTTTGTTTTACATTGGGGTAATGGCGGCGTTTTGTTGGACGGGCGGGTGAAAAGTGTGCTAGCGGAGGAGCTACTATAGATGTCGTGCTCTTGCTGGAGTAATTAATGAGACTGCCAAAGTATTTTGTAGGCAACTCGGATGAAGTGATAGGCTATGCGCTTTATGTTCCCACGACATGGCGATCCCTCCGGTGACCCTAGCACAAAAAAGTACCGCTGCTGCTTCACGCCTCAGTGTTACCCGGCCTTGGGCATCCAAGAAACCAAGAGTTATGCTAACTAGTCCCTCACCAACCAATTCCATTTTCTCTTCTGATCTGATCCCCCACCCTTTCCACCCCATCCCGATTAAATAAACCAACAACTATCCAAACTCCACTCACCAACCCGCCTCAAACAAACTCATTCAAGATGGTTATGCCAGTATGTCACTCACACCCTGCGCCCCCCCTCCCCTCCTCCCATGCAATACCCTTTGATCCTATTCCGAGAGATCAATCGCTGACCAAGTCCTCCTACGAAACAGAAGCAAGAGCAAAGCGGTATTTCATGTCACCCCTCGAAACGGTGTAAGCAGTGACTGAGAAGAAGGGGATCCGCAGCCCATACTATTTCCCAGAGGATCAGGATGTTGAAGAAGGTTCCTCCGGAATTGATCCCCTTGGGAGTCGTTATGGCGTAACCCCCCCCCCCTTTTTTCCATCCCGTTCCCCCTACGTCGCTACCGCACAATTATTGGTCTTTGCTGAAAGTTTCGGGGTGATAGTGCTGGTGTCGGAAGTATGCAATTCCCCTAATCCTGTTGATGGAAGGAAGTAAACAAATTGGAAAGGGGGCAAGAATGAGGGAAAGGCGGAAGCTAGTGGAGGGGGACTTGTGCTAACTTTTAACCCCCCATCGTAGTGGCGATAGTTTCCATGGGAAGGAAATTATACACCGACAAGCAATTGAGGCTTTCCCGTTCTTCCAGGTCCGATCATTAAAGTATGTCATTACAGCGGGTGTGAATAGGTCATATAAGTTGAGGGATTGAAAATTGAGAGACACAATATCACGGGACAATCGCTAGTTCTCATGTTTCGATTCTGATATTATGGTTACCTCTGGTTGGGCTGGGGATGTTCTCTCCTTTTTTCCCCCTTCTCTCGATAATGTGATAGAAACAAGAAAAACAAAACTCCCAATGTAAAAAGAAAAGAAAAGAAAAGCCCATGTCATATCATACAAGATGCCCATTTGCCACCAAGAGTTTCGCTCGCCGTACATAATATACAAGTACAAGTGAAAAGGTATGTATCATCACTCAGGCTTAGGCCCCGCAACATCCAGCCCTTCAAGACCCTGCATAGGATCAACTCCTTCCTTCGCCATAGCTTCCGCCTTAGCCTTCTCAGCAGCAGCCCTATCCTCCTCACTAACCTCATGCTTTGCCAACCACGATTCCTGTATCCCCCATTAACCCCATGGCCCAGAGAGGAAAATAAAAATAAAAAAATAAAAAAAACCCACCTGAGCCCAAACCGCAACCTTACTCCCAAGCACAGTCCCCTCCTTCTGTGGCTTCGCCCGCATCACGTTGAGTACCCGACCCGCGAGCACCGCCTGGTCCATATTATCGATAGCAGCGAGCGCGTCGCCCACCGCCTCGAACTCGACGTAGCCAAATCCCCTGTGCGCCGTGTTCGGTTGACGGTCGTCGCGGGGTAGCTGCACTTCCTGGATATCGCCGAAGGGGAGGAAGGCACTGTGGAGGATTTCCTTCGTGACGGATTGGTCTAGGCCGCCTGGGACGTTGTGTTAGCGGTTTCGAGGAGGAGGAAGAGGGGGGGGCGAGACCGATAAAGATAGTGGATTTAAGACGGGTTTGGTCGGACATTGGGCCTATATGAATTTATGTATGGTAGCGTTGGTGTTGTTGGTTGTTGGGGGTGGGTGGTTGTTCTGGACAACTTTGGTGATTGTTGGATGGAGGGTTCGAGTGCCTGCACCGGTAAATTATCATATCTATCATACCCTACTGTACTTGTACTTTATCTGTCTATCATATCTATGAAACGCCATGCCCTAACCCCAGAATAGGATGAGCAATAGTAAAAACAATCGAATCTTGTCATACCATACCACGCATGATATCATACCCATCATACAAAGACTCGATTCCTTACCCCCTACCGAGTTCAACCTGTAATAAACCAGATATACAGTACGAGTACCGTACCCTCGAAAATATTGTGACCACATATTATATATACGGAGTACCCCATTTCCAATATGACAACAACGACTAACTATATTTCCCATCTTGGCACCCACCCAACAAACAACCTCACACAAACTCAACCAACTTATCAAACTATAGAACTTCCGCTCCGAAAGATCCCAAACAACCCACAATACTTGTACTCTCTCTAACCCTCTAAATCTTCTTGAATCCTCCACCGATTACCTCATCTCCCTTCGCCTCCACCTCTAAATGCCCAGAGCGGTGAAAGGTATCTCATCACACATCCGATCCACAACTATTATTGCTAAAAAAAAGAAATCCACCAATCCACAGGCGTCCTAATCGAATGCGACCCCTCCATCAAAGCCATAATTCTCAAGATCGATAAGGATTCTGGTCACGGGTATATTGTCGAGGACCTCGACGATGAGACGCTGGTGGTGAAGGAGCCGAAGCTGGCGGAGCTGAAGTTGCGGCTGGAGAAGATTCTGGAGAGAACGCAGATGCTGGAGAAGGATGAGGAGAGCGACCCTGAGAATCCGGGCTAGGAGCTTGAGAGGATGTTAGGACTGCTGAGGGGATTGGTACGTGAAGAGGGGGGGGAGGAGAGTGCTTCTGGATAGTGGTGGTCTGGTTGGTCTGGTCTGGGTTGAGGTGGGCGACAGCAATTTGACATAATTCCGGCCCTTTCCCCCTTTTCTCTCGATAGAAAAAAAATACAATTGAGTGGCCGCACAGCCCTATCCCGACCCCAGTTTGTCCCAACTAACGAACTAACGCTTGGTAGTATTGTTGTTGAAGGGACTGGCGATTTACATGTTTCTTTCTTCCTTTTCCCCCTTTAAAAACTCCAGTTTGAACATCCAATGAAAGAAATTGTCGAATATATGGAAAGAAAGTCTTCTGATGCAGCGACAGAAGCAGGAATGACAAAACACAAGATATCTTACGGGAAAGAACAGAAAAGGGGTGAAAAGCGAAGCGGAGACATAATACTTTTTTGAGTTGAGGGAAAAGTGAAGGGATGGGGGGAAAAATGGGTCGTCAAGATCTGAGAATGTATAAAACCAAAATGAAGAATGCAAAGAAAAATGTGAACCAAAAAAGGGGGGGGTAATAATAGGTAGAACAGAGAACAAAGATGAAAGAACACAAGCCAATTGTATTACCATAACTCATTCATTATACGCGGTTCATTACCCATCAACCCATAAATCCCTTTAAACTCCTGACAATTTCACCAACCTCGAATGCCAACCTCCTAATAACCTTTTCTTCCCAGGCTTTTCTCCCAAGTTCCCCGACTTCTTTCTTCACAAAAACCACTTTTCCCCCCTCTTTCGCCTCAACCGCATCTCCACCAATGCTCCCATTAGGCACATTCACAACATATATAGTCATGTCCGGTCCAATGCAACCCCGCCACACAGTCGCACACCACTGCCAATGCTGGAGCGCTGAAAGGCCATCGGATGAGAGCTTTGCATAGGCAGAATTGCTTCTGGAAACCATATACCGATTCACCAAAACCATTCGTTGAGATGCGCCGTTGCTATGCATCACTGCATTCTTGATCCGGAGACATCTCCTCCTCCACGAAGCAACATGATCGAGGTATTTCGCAGCCTCAAGGTCATCTTCGGCGTCTTTAAGGACACCTGCCGAATCGAGATCGTTACCGTCACCTGCCGGCATCAACAATCCATCGCTTATCTCGGTACTCTCCTCCAACTTGTGAGGCTGCTCTGAAACGGAAATATCCGGTTCATCAATGATATCAATAGGGTCAGAATTGGATATCAGCTTCGCAACTGCATGGAAAAGCTCTGATACCGCCTCAATGTCATCGCCTTCGATTGCGATAACCGGCAGTCGAGAAAAGCCCGCACCGGTCGGAAGGGGTTTGCATATACAATTGAAAGCTCTTATTTTCTGCATCGGAGATATCGGTTTGGGGATGTGGGGCTCTGGCAATTCTGGGGAAAAGTTGGAAATCTGGTGTGGGCCGCTGGTTAGGCTCCCGTCAGCATCTAGACTAGGCATACTTTGCTCAAAGCTATTTTGCTGGAGGAAGGGGTCGATGTTAGGATTATGTGACTGCAGGGGGAAATGGCCCGGGTATAGGCTGTGCTGTAGCGGTGATGTCGTAAGCGCATCTGTCGTAGGGGATCCTCCATTCATCTTCTGACGCTTGGTAGATGCTTGGAGTTCTGTAGCCACGATATTTTCGTCATCACCCAGATTCCCAAGCTGGAGCAACGCTTCAATGCCCGCTTGTTCGCCTACCGGACCGGCTGGGCTTCCCGTGCTACATCTGGGGGCATCGTCCTCTGTGCCAGCTCGCCTTCTTTTCGATGGAGGGGGGACCGAGGTTGGAGTTCGTGCACTATGTGGTAGTTGGGACAGTCCAGGTGTCTTGGGCACGGCCGACCCTGGAGTTGCAGGTGTTTGGGGTGTCGAAAGACTCCCAGTACGACCACCGCACGTTGAGCATATGGCAGTCTCGAGAGGCGGTGAAATAGCGCCCCCGGAGGCACTCCCAGAAGCACCTGCGGCTGCGGCAGCATTTTTCTTGCCATTCCTACGAGGCTGGTATCGGTATTCTGGATATCTCGCGAAGTGCTTCTTTTTCTCTTCCTATATAATTCTATTAACTAAAAGTGAACAAAAAAACGGAGGCCAATGGTTGACAAACATCAGCATGCCTTTGCCAAAGATTCTTTGCTTCTTGCGAACTTTCTCTCCACATCTCACCAATTATCTTGGATATTTCCGGATTAGGTTTGCCAGGATGCTTTGCAACAACAGCAGCCTGGTTATGTTGACGAAAAAGAATGAAGGCTAGAGTTTTAGTTAGCTCAAGTCGGAGAGGGTTTGTACAATTCGACACCGGAGCAACGACACATAGGAAATTGCGGACTTTGTTCAAGGGAATTTTTACCATTTCTCGGTCGCGGAATCCTTGCAGGTTGTTGGCAGAGGCATATATTCGACGGTGAGACAACTAACAGAGCTAGATCGGAGGTGCCAGGGGTACCAGGCATTCCATTCTCCTCCTCCACAGTGCTTCTTGATGGGATCTTGATAGGTGCGGCATGTGGTACAGTCTGTTGTGGTAGATCTTGTGTGACGGTGGAGGGGGGTGGGGGAGTTGACGATACTGGTACTTTCTCGGGCGCCTGTGAATGAGCATTATTAATGACATGCTGTAGTTGCGGGTGGTTCTGACGGTGATTCCGCTCTTCCGCAGCATCTGCCTGTTCCAGAGCGGCAGCAGCCCGAGCTTGATGGGCGGCGGCGTGCTGTTGAGCGACCACCATAGCATTAACATCCACCTGTGGCGAAGTTGAACCGGCGGCCATAAGTGAAGGTGTATTATCCATCAAACTTCGTGAATCCGAAAGATCTTCTTCGAGCAAAACCCTCAAACCACCAGCTTCTTCGTCGACATTTGGAGCTTCAACCACTGTCTCTGCCATGGTTCTTTCCTTCCGCCTTCCAAGCTCTCTCAGAAGGAAATGATAGCAAATTAAGCTCCGGAGCTCCAACCAACTTTCTAAGACAGAATTAGACTGCCCCAGGCCGAAACTTATGGCTAAGAAGGATGAAATTGGTCTCGAGGTCTGTTCTTCGCCGTTCTTTGTCAATCGCGGCAAGCTTCGTTTCGCGTTTAAAGTGCAAGCTATCCCAGTGATACTCGTACCGTACCGTATTCCGCAAAAAAACTGTCTTCTAGGTAGCCTCTTCCGTAAATTCTGCTGGTCGTTAATAAGGCTTTTCCCCAGGAACTTTTTTCTAGAAAAACATAAAATTTAATGAAGAGGAACAAAAAAAATTAAAATGCGTTCGTTAGTTGGTTGTAGTCGCACACAAGGCAGTAAAATTCGTTGTTTCTCATAAAATCCGTACGGTATGATACGACAGAAGCGGGAGGCTCCGCGGGGAAAATCCCCTAAAGAGAACAAAAAAGAAGGTTAAGAGAAAACGGGAGAGTAAAAATAAAAAAATAAAATAAAATAGAAAAAGGAGCTGCGCGCGCACCGGCCCGCCAAATCTCGTTTGGCAAGGAGAAGGGAAGAGAGAGAAAAAAAAAAAAAAAAAAGAGGCTACACAACACCCCTCGCTGTCTATTTCGTTTATTTTTAACCCCAGGTTCACCAATGAATTGGTCAGTTATGTTTTCTGCAGGGAATCTTTTTGTTTGCTTCGGTGGTTGAAGAGAAGAATGGATTGTATAGGGGACAGGAGGGAGACACACAGCGATTGTTCGGGCTTGTTGACGGGGGGACGGCGAGAGGGGTGAGGAACGACCCGCGGCTGATTAATCGAATATATTATCCCAGTCATACCAACATGGCTTCAACCTGCTGAGCGCTTGAGCATGTCGCTACGAGTACCAGTACCGATGGCGGACAGCGTTTCTTTCAGCTTACGTAATATTTATCGTGAACGAAAATCCTTGGCGTGCTGACATGAAATAAAGGACCCCCCATGTCAACCCCAGCATCCCTTTTCGTTCTCTTGAAGACTCCCAAAACAGTAGCAAACAGAAACAATAATAGCGACAGACCGAGGCCCAAACAAATCCAAATCAGACAGAGATCTTTGGGTGCGTGCTCTGGCCGAACAGTTGATCAGTGACTGGCTGATAATGGGAAGCTACCATGGGCCACCTCCCAGGCGCCCGGGGAAAGGTGGCATTGATTGCAAATATACCCGCACCAGGCAATTCCCGTGCTCTTCAGCAGCAGTCCGCTAAGGGGTCTCACCCCGCCGGTTTTGCGTGGCTCAAACAAGAGATTCATACTGTACCTGTAGTTCATGAACCGCGAACTGGAAAAATGAATTGCCATATGACACTAGTGCTAGCTCTAGAGTTGGTTTGCGAGGTTACATTGTGAGACAAGAGGTCTCACCACGTACTACTATGAACCCATTCGAACCGTACAGTAGCACACATCCCAGATCCGAACCCGCAGTGAGACCGCCTACTACTTTTCAGCAACAGACCAACCAGAGCCACCAGCAGCTGCTTCGAGTTTTGCCAAACATACGGAACGAGCATCTCCCCGTTCTCGTTTGACCGGGCGGTATTACTAACAGTCCAACCAGACAACTACTATTAATAACACTACTTTGCTATCTAGTTTGAGTTCCTCGGGGCAGCTACTAGGGACACGTCGTGTTCTTTTGTCGTTCACTCGCAAGTGCTCTTCGAGCATCCGCCGGTAATGGAGGTGAAAGTCGTCAATACCCTATAACCCCCGGGTGACCACCTGTGGGCCGCTTCGGTAGTGCCCGATCTTCCCTCATTACCCGAGCACGCCTATGTTGATGAGCGCAGGATGCAAACCATATTCTACCTAGGAATACCATTCTACTAGTAGTCTCTCACCAGGAACTAAAAATCCATCGGTACAACCATTGACCCGTCAAGCATGCACTCGCCCCCGGTAGGGAGATAATTTAATCTTCGGGGGACGATTATAGCTTTGGAGCTTTGGGTACACCTGAATCAAACCACTAGGTATGCGATCAAGTTCTAGCGTATCCCGTGTAATTTCACGGGGGGTTAGAGCTTCACGGTATCCTTGATGGAACCATTTTGTGTGGGAGTTTAGAATAGAGAATATCTCCTAGGCTCAAAGCGCATATCACTATGTAGGCGGTAAATCCGCACAATGTTATGGAGAGCCAAAGCTACAATCACAATTGAAAGGTTCACCCACGTATTCTGTATTCATAATGGAACAAATTCCTCCGATGCCGGTAGCCAAGGCTCCGGTACAAGTTCCATACGAGGACGGTACAATACATTTCAAATTTCCCTCCTTCTACTGGACAATAACTTGGTGAAAGCGATAGGTTTTACTCTCGAGGTACCCAAGGTGGACCTTTACGATAATATTATAAGAGCTTAATTCTTAGGTAAGTGGTAACCAGCTCAAACGGGCGTGAAGCTTCATAGAGGCACTGTGATATGATTAACAAGTGAACCCCCATGTGCACAGTACCATGTGGCCTGGAAATCGTTCAAGGCTTCAAATGCTCTATTACAACAAATGAACCCACACACAGCACCACTAGCTCTTCTCCCACAGAAATAGTTGGACGAATGGCCGTTGGATCTCCGGCGATCCTCTCCCTGCACTTCTTCTGGCCGTTTTGCAAGGAACCATGTAATGTACTGCCACATCCGTGAAGCTCCTTCCATCCCCTTCCTTGTACCCCGGGGGCAAATGCCTACCAATAGCGGAATAATAGCCGGAGCCTTTTGGATAACTTTGTTTGGATATGCCTCTCTAGAGGCATTGTAAACCTTTATCACAATTTGTTTTACTAGACAGTGGAAAGCAAGGACTAGCGAAATATTTCCAGAAACTTGTATAATAGCGCTTGGAAAGGGATAGGAACTTTGCAGACCGGTCCGTAGAAACAACCGTTAATAGACCAATATATTAAACCCCCCCTCCTGTTCGGGCAACTCTTTCTGCGCCTAAATAAGATTATATGGGTGCCGGTATGGATATAAACGGTAAATGTAATTTTAGTATCTGTGCTTAAACGGCATATGATGCCCTGAAAACAACCAGCCAGGTTTTCCAGAATTTGGAAGAGGACAGGAGTCAGCCACGTGTGGGCTGGCCGGCCCGTACTCGGTACTGTTTTCGGAACCATCAGAATGTTTTCCTGTGAGGATTTCTGAGCGCCAAGGATTACTGGCCATGGATCTCAGAACAACGGTACAGTAGTGACTATGATACCCTTTGAGAAATACCGTACCGGTAGGTTGGTAACAAGACAAAGCTCAGAACTCAGCCATCCCACTGGATTCTCCATGTTACAATTACGGGCACGATAGTTATTTCCCCACATTCCGTTAAAATGTGTTTTTTAAATCTTTAAAAGGAAAGGAGGCGCCCGAATTCCACAATACCGTTTTTTACGACTCCTATATGTCTCATATATGTATCATATACGGATGCATTCGGAAAGGTATTTACCTATGAAAACTACTGCCAAAGTATGATGGACATATTACATTGGGCGATGGGAGAAGGCACCAGCACCGCTCTATCCTGGGCGGGCAGAAAAGTCTTAAATTATCATATAAGAACTATGCTCAAGTCCTTGGTGACCTGGGGAGATTTACCCTTATGTCCTTCCTATATTAAATTTTTCATTAAAACTTACTAAACTCTGGTGGCTCCAGAGACCGGTTCTTGTATGAGTATGGTTTTCTTTTCTCCCCCCAGAATCCAGCGGCTGCACTCACACTGCACTCAGTTTGCAGAAATGCTGGACGGGGCGGTAGTAGTAGATATGCCGCCAAGTACCTTGATCGGCATAACCCGTTAAATTATCGAGCAGGGTACCGGTACTGTTCCAAATCCCCTCCTGGCTGGATGGCCATTGGCACCGAGCGGTACACGGGTGGCTGCCGGTACTCGTAGCAACAAGAGACCGGGCAGAGGCGAGGAAGTAGTTTACATTTAGCAGCAAACAAAGGAAATAAACCAATTGAAACGTCGGAGTCCGGGAGGAAGTTTCAGAATAGTAACGTCTTGACGGTGAGATCAATATTTTGACCACCACTGAGCCATCCCCTGAGTATTGGTGCATAGCAGGTACTCGAGTATATACCACCAGGAGGGTACTGGCGCAAGGCTTGGGCAAGGCGGGTCGTGGGCAGCCGGGAAATGATCGGTGGGAGACACCGTTTCTGCTAGAAAGAACCTAAACCCACTCAAATTGATGGCGTATTCCAGGACTTCGCTCAAGAAACAATAAAGAAACAACTATATTCCTGTCCGCCAATTGCCCAAGTATTCCAATGATTCTGATGCATCTCTAATAATTGCGATCAGAAAAGTGCGCCTGTGCTGTTGGATATGTTGGAGACTGTTCTATACCACACATTAATCGGCCCTAGTATGCATGCTTGTTCATGGTCCTATCATACTGGTAGTGGAGAAACTTCACCCGCGCAAGAAAGAGGCCACAGCAAGGTTGTGAACAAGACTGACAAAACAAAAGACCGTCTAAAATCAGTATCGTGGATCATTGGGGAAAAAATTTACGGTTTGGGAAAACTTACTCCATTTTTCGCGAAATCAACTCCAAAAGGGAATCACTTAAGTCACATTACATGTGGAAATGGTCAATGCCCTTACTAGTGATAGTCACTATAGGCGACGGCTGGATTTATATGCATTTCCGAATAAAGAAACAGTCTCTCCCTCCAAACGAGCGGGAGCTCTAGTTTTCCGTGTATCATACTGTCCCTAAGGTTACTTTGGAGGGTTGGGATTCCCTAACAAAGAGCGGCTAACCGTGATTGAATGGATTACATTTTCACATCATGTGTGTGGTAAGAAGTAAAGAGAGCAATTGTTTCTCCGGGAGAAATATCACCCTCGTGGCGCCAGCCAGCCCTCGTATGGCTTTGAAAAATCTCCTCTTTTCAGTTCCTCTTGGCTAATCCATCTCCATCTTGCTTCCCCATCCCCTATAAGCAAGACACAACTCTTAAGGAATAAATTCGAACTTATCTGCAAAAGTGGTTCCATTTCATGGCTCTTTGCCCCCTACTCGGCATCATGTGTCACGCACGATAATACATATCGTAGATAATAAACTGCCGGATTGAACCTATGGTCGGCCCAGGACATGTTCGGCTTGGGATAGAGTCAGGCTGTTAGCGGATATCCACTCACATCTCAGTACTCACCAGACCCAGGGATGAGATTCCGCTCTCCTAACCCTAGGTGACCTTCCAGCTCACTACTTACCTCTCCACTCACCCTCCCACAGCAAGCACCATCCACGCTTTCAATTATTCTGCAAAGTTCGCCAATATTGTCGATATTTTTTAACCATACATACTATTCACTTGGATTGAGAAGATGGTTCATTCACGAATTGTCACTCGGATGTGGGTGAGTGGCATACTGTATTTGGAGAATCCAGTGTATTCATGGCCGGGTTTACAGCTCGTGTGATATCACATTCACAGGGACGGGTGGTGGGAACGAGGTTCACTCAAAGTTGCAAGGGCGATACTGTTCAGGGTTCCAATTCCTCGTTGGTCAAATTGGTTCACAGATATAGAGGCGCTCTAAGGCTAGGTGATGGCTAAAGCCTCATAATCTACCGTATCATTCAAAAACTAGCACACATCCCCTCAGAGCAGCACCTGATGCGATGCATGTCAGCGGGTACCTTAAAATATTGGTAGTCACCCTAAATCTTCCGATCAAATCTGCGACTCGGTTCAGCGCCTCCAGCATGCATCTGCGAAATGAACATCTGAATACCCAATGGATGCTGTTCTGGGGTGTTAAGGCTGGGAGGGAAGAACAAGTCAGGGTTATATTCTCGGAGCCGCACATACATCCATGAAGGTAACTATCTCTATTTCACTGGTATTTAGTTGTTTTCATTTTCACTCGAGTAAATGGAGATTTTATGGGCTGCCATTTTTTGCGGGGTTTGTTTGCAGCTCAGCTCGCCCATTCAGAAGCCAAACAGAGACCAACTAGAGTGGCATCATGGAATGCTCAGGTGTGGAGCTTGAACTGTGTGGGATCATCCAGGTTCTGTGCTTTGAAGGTTTATATTTAAGACTTCAAAGAGCGCTTGGGCGGGATTGTTTCATCGAGATGCAGCATTGGGTACGGGTATTTGAAGGCATTCGCTCGAAATGGTTAGCGAGGATCAGTATGTTATGTTCACTGCTCAGGGGCACAGCTGGTCACGGCACTACCAGGATGACGCAAAATCCGTTTTGACTCTCTGTCCGCCCCTTTCTGCTTCATGAGTTCAATCTTGCTCACCCAACTCTAAAGCCATCCTTTTTTTATAGTCCAACCTTCTTCATTTCTGGATAAAGGGGTCGAATCCTTTCAAATTATTCCTCGGAATGCCTTTAAAGGCCCTTCCTTCTGCTAACACTTTTTTTCCTAACATAGCATGTTTACAGAACATGGCACCAAGAAGCATCGAAATAATATACTTACAGCGCGTCAGTCGGAACTCCTTGGAGTGATCTGAATCTGAAAACAAACATCTGCCCCTCTCACGCCAGTATGTCGGATCAAAATTTCTCACTATTCGGTCGATTCGAGCGGTCTCGCGATTCTGGAGTTGCGATTCAAACATTGTTGCAACTAGCGGACAGGCGAGCGTGCAAACACGGCGGCAAACAAATCGCAACAAGCTCCATTCAAAATGCATAGGGAATGCGGATAGCATCCTAGAAATGCATTTCTTTGAGATACGGTGCGTTTATTCGGCTCCGATTGTGGGGGTTTTCGTATTGTCGGGTTTTAGCGTGGCGGTGGTGGCATTGTTGGCAAGTGGCGAGCCTGGCGCAACCCGTTTCATTCTCGCTACATACCTCATCAATTCATCACAATTGGCCTTTCCATCAGTTGGGCATGTGCAAGAGGAATGAGGAGGGAATATGGGTGGGGATGGAGGCGTATGTTTTGTTCAGAAGTTCCTTTGGTTTTTTGTGCCGTACTTCCTTCTTTGCTTGATTTCTCTTTTACGGCTTCCGCATGAGGTTTGTTGGAGACATGGTGTCAAAAAAGGGGGTTCATGGTACCGTAGTTATCTGCAGGAGTGAGATTCCGTGAGAAATTGGACCAATAGGTAACCCTGGTAGAAGGTCCTTCCCGGAAGGGCTAGGGTTGATATGCAAGATAACTCCTTGGCGCACTGAATTGCCTGCTTGTCTCAGCCAGTGGGGCCGAATACAAAAGGAAGCGCTTTCCCACGCACCTTCTTTCTCCTTGCTGTTCATTTTGCGGTCTCCTGCTCAAAATTTGCATCTTAACGTTTTTCTTTTTTCCATTATCCATTTCCCATTCGATACCCAACGCGAGCAACAGGAGTTTTTCACCGTGTTAAGCGGCTGATAAACTAGAGGAAAAACCTACACGAGAGAAATTAATTAATTTATTTATTCCGATATTGACCTTTTCACGCTGCCTACTCACTGAACCTTTTTCGTCTTTTTTTTTTCATTTTCATTCATTTTTCCTTTTTAACCATCTCCCTCCATTTCGAGCCAACCCTTTTTGACCCAGGCTATTCCGAATTGGAACACGCGTGGCGCGTCGGGCAGGGATATCCAGGAAACAGCTGAGTCATTCTGGCTCGATCAGCTTTAAAGCACTTACCCTGCCAGCTTTTCCTTTTCTTTCTTCCTTCTCGCCCTCTTCACCGTCTTGCAACCACATAACCCTCTCACCACTCAGCCGCCTCCGTTGTCGTGCACAACCACTTTCCACTCCACCCATCACCACCACAAAACACCCCCTAGCAACGACACTACCCCTCATTTTTTTTTATTTTCCTGTCGCCTTGGACGCAAGGCAGCAACAACACAGCACATACACTTACCCACGCGCACACCAGACGCTGGTTCCATCCATTTTATCCCCACCCCCTTGCTGACTACTCACCCCGCTCATCCGCAACCCTGCTCCCATACCTAAAACCGATTCTCCCCATTTACTTAGTGTACGGTGACACAGGAAGACGATTCTGCGGCTCAACCCCAAAGCAGTGGATGCTCTTTAATATCTTACCGTAGTTTCGCCTCTCTCCTCTTCCCACTTCATCCACCTTCGACCCCACCTTTTTCTTCCCTTCTACCCCACCTCTTCCGCATTTGTTTGCAACCTCGGTATCTACAGCTATTTCATCTCCTGTTTCGCCCGCGAATTCTCATCGCGTCCATCCCGCAGTTGTCGCTGTCGCTGGTGGACGTGGGAGAATCATCCATTTCAAACGCTCTGGCTGGTTCGTCTTTGTCTTCCATGGCAGTTATGAGTCCGCAACTATCGGTAAACACGCAGTCAAGCGAGCTGAAGTCCGAAGCGGCCGCTCCTCTTCTCGCTTCGGCGGCAGACGGGAGCGCTGCCTCGGAAGGGGCGATGGCGATGGACTTGGATCTTAACGGGTGAGTTTGCCCTGTCCCTGTCTGCTGTTTGTCGCTGCTTTCTTTCCTTCCACAATCTTGTACCCTCGTTTTATCTCGCAATGTATCTCCTCGACTAGTGTCTTGAGTGAGGATCATGTAGCTGAGATGATGTATGGATCCAATCATGTCGCAAATTTTCTTTTTTCTCCGGTTCCATCGTTTTCTTGTACCAGTATTTTTTTCTTTAACCTTGTATTTACCATTATTATGTTCTTCTAGTTCCATCAAGCAAGATGATAGTACCTCGCCTCAATTTGCTCCATCATCTCCGAAGGATGACCACGTCAGCAACGGATTACGCACGCCATTTGTGAATGGAAGCGCCCCGGACGCGAAGATAAATGCGCCTCCTTCACCCCCCATCCCCACTCCACCACTACACTCCGATAACACACATGACCTTTCTGATCTCCATATCACGTCACCCGCTGGCTTGCCTGGGTCTACAGTTATGTCATTCCAGGAGGCCGTTGGATCGGGGAAGCCGGCAGGAGAACCAATGGACCAAGGTGTATCTGGGGGTAACGTCAAGGATGATGAGAAATCTAATGAAGGGAAGGACATCGGCTCTAATCGGTCGGAGCCACCCCAAAAGTCGGAGCCATCAGGCTCTATGGCTGATTCCTCCCATGATGCCGCTGCCGATAGAACTATGACGGATGCGCCTACCTTCAAGGCTTCACGCAGCCGAGACGATGACGATGGCGAAGGCCCTCCATTGAAGCGAGCTAAAACTGAGGAGGAAATGGATGTTGTTTCCCCAACAACCGCGGCATCTTATAATTCTACCGCTCCGTTGACGGCAACACAAATTAAATACCTTCTGGTGGTGATTCGGAGTTTGCGGCGGACCAAGGATGCTCGTCCCTTTACTATGCCGGTTGATCCTATAAAGCTCAATGTTCCTAATTACTTTGAAGTTATTACCAACCCAATGGATCTTCAAACTATGGAGAAGAAACTGAACAATAAGGAATACTCGTCGTCGCGTGACTTTTTAGCTGACTTCAACCTGATTCTCACGAATTGTGTCACTTTTAATGGCCGCGAGCACCCGGTCTCCGAAAATGGACGAGTTATGAAGGCTGTGTTTGAGAAACATATGGCTGGATTTCCGTCTGCTGACTTTGTCGAACCTCAAAAGTCGAAATCTACTAAAAAGAAGGGTGGGGGAAACACCACCGTCAATACCGCTGCGCCTAAACCACCAAAGCCGGTAGCACCTGTCCCGCAAGCGATTAAAGCGACACAGACTAAGAAGGAATCGAAACGTCCCGTGCCAACCGCAGCTATTACCGCAGCCTCCCCTACATTTGGTCTCCAACCCTCCGGTATCCCCCAAATCCGCAGAGATTCTACCGCAAACGACAGGCCCAAGAGGGAGATACACCCACCAGCGCCTAAGGATTTGCCATATTCTGATGTCAAGCCCCGACGCAAGAAGGCTGCGTCGGAGCTCAGGTTCTGTGATATTGTTCTCAAGGAGCTTCATAAGAAGCAGTACCATGATACGGCATTTCCATTTTATGTACCAGTGGATCCTGTAGCGTTGAACATACCTGATTACTTCAAGATCATCAAGAAGCCCATGGATCTAAGTACAATTTCGACAAAGCTGAAAACGAATCAGTATGACAGCGCTAGTGATTTCGAGGCCGACATTCGCTTAATGTTTTCTAATTGCTACAAATTCAATCCTTCGGACCAGCACGTTCATAAGTGCGGCAAGGCTTTAGAAAATATTTTCGATCAGAAGTGGGCCGAAAAGGCTTCCTACACTCGGGATAATCCTGGCAGCCATTCTCCAGTTTCTGTTTCGCCCCCTGTGGAAGATGAGGATGAGGATATGAGCGGAGATGAGAGCGAGGATCAAGAGCAGAACATCCGTCTGCTCGAGCAGCAACTCGAGGCGATGAAAGATCAGATATCGGCGATGAAGAATGGGCAAAAGAAGAAAAAGACTCCTCCTGCTACCTCTACCAAAAGGTCGAAAGGAGGTTCTTCTCGGAAAGGCTCGTTAGTGTCTACAGCCCCCCCGGCCAATCCTTCTAGACCAAAGAAAGGCAAGGAGAAGAAGGTTCCTTACATTACTATGGAGCAAAAGACGGAACTTTCCGAGAGGATAAATTTTCTGCCAACCGGGAAGATGGCTTATGCTCTTAAGATGATAAGAGAAAACATGCCCGATCTGGGAAATGTATGTACCTATATCTGCCCTTACTATCTGTACTTTTACTAACTGTGTATTAGACAGCTGATGATGAGATTGAGCTCGATATCGATGAACTAGACCCCCAAACATTATACAAACTTCACACATATGTTACCAGACATGCAGAGAAGAAGCCCAGCGGATATGTCCCACCGCCACCCCCCCCTGCACCAGTCACAGAACCAAAGTCGAAGTCCAAAAGTCTCCCGAAATCGAAAAAAAACAAACCTATGTCTGCTGTCGAGCAGGAAGCTAAGATCAAGGACCTTCAAGCTAAGCTCCAGAACTTTGACAATCCAACCCCGCAACCATCTAACTCTGGTATTTCAAAGCCCCTTCCCTTAGAGTTGCACGTTGAAGGACCCATATGGCTAACGATGAATCTAGCTGCCCATGGCGATGATAGTGACTCGAGTGATGATGATGACGAGAGTTCGGGTTCGGAGAGCGAAGAAGAGTAGACCTCTGGTCTGGCGAAGAAAAACACCCTTTGCAGCAAAAATCTGTTACTTCCAAAAACTTAATTGCTTGAGTCATTTCAACTGGTATGAGAGGGGCGGGTGACATAAAAAAGTGCAAGTTCTATCGTTAAGCTATTATTCATGTACCCGTCTGACGAAAAGAACATGGTCCACTGTTCATTTTTGTGTTCGGGGGAGAGTAACCTGCTTGTACTGTGAGCCAGCGTCTGGGGATGTGAACATAGGGGGATAAGTGCGGGGTTTGTTTTAGGGAGAGAGGCGGAATGTTGTCCTATGAGAGACGTGGCACGGGCGGAAGGTTGCAGTTTTTTTTTTTACAATGGCGGGGTTGTCGGCGGCATCTTGGCTTTTTTTCTACATTTTTTTCATTGATTGATTGCATGCTGACTAGCTGACAATTCTTCCATTATAACTTGACTAACGTAATGACCTTTCTTCATCTATACTTTTCTCTCTCCTCTTGTCTTTTAAAAAAACATCCTTGGGCTTCTTTGTTCTTGCTCCTCCTCAATTTTTACTTTTTACTTCTTGTATCTTTACATATTTTTTTTTTATCGGCACAGGGGTGTTCTTTGCTTCATGTTATTTTCTTCCTTCTTCCTTCTTCTCTCTTTCCTCCTTCACTGAACATATTCATTCGGATCTTTTGTATGCATCGTGATGTTCCATTTATCCACCTGTCAAGCCATCAAAATGTCATCAACTTCTCCGACGAATGCCGAGAGAAAACAAATTGACCGAGCGAGAGCATCATAGCATCATGACAAACTCGCAGCCCAAGCATTAAACCTTTTATTTTATTTATTATCTTTTTATTCCTACCCCTTCCATTTCTTGTACAGTACCATGATTCTTTTCTCGTTTCCATTTATTTCCCTTTCATCTCGGCGGTTCACATGATAGCTTAAAAAAACAATTATATTGTACGATAATAGGTGGCATTCCCACAGTATCAATTATTTTATCCGTTTCTGCTACCCTTTGTGCCCGGTTTACTCTTATTTTTATTTATACCACCGTGCATATGATGGTCAAATACCTTCTGACCCTCAGGCTTTTTACTTGAGTTTTTTCTCTCTCCTTTTCTTCCTATTTTTATTTTTATTCCTATTTCCGACGTAGTATTGCCGGTATGAACGTGACATGACGCCGGGCGGGGGGGGGGAGGAGGTTTGGGTGAGTGAGTTTTACGGGTCGAAGTTACTCGTAGGGTGCAGGTGGTTGTTGGGAGAAATTTTTTTCCCCCCTAACTTATTTTCTTGTCAAGTTAGGCTATATTGATTGATGGTGGAACGGATCGCTGATCGTGTTGGCCGTGTTTGGAATAAGTGAACTGAGGTGCACCGAGATGGGATTGAATACAGGTAGTTTAATACAGATATTACTCGTACAGGAGAATAACCGACAGAGACGCCCACACTACGCAGGGTTTGGAAAAGGTGTGGAAATGGTGAAAAGTGTCAAGTAAGAAACGGGCGAATAAGAAGAAAAGAAATGTTGGGTACAGTACAAGCGCAAAAAGAGAGCCAGCTAGTCAGAGAAAAAAGGGGAATCGTGGTACAGTACAGTACGACAGAGAGTAAAATGTACTGGTACGGTGGACCTATCCTTTACACTTATTGCATCCCTTCATACCTTTCCTTCGCTTTTTCCTTGGTCCGCTTGACAAAGTCATTATATCCACCCCCGCCACCCTTTGCAACCTCTTCAACATCTCCAACCTTGGCCCCCTTCATTCCCAATCCAACGCCCTGAGTGTACATTTCGGCAATAACATGCTCCGTCCTTCCATCCCCGCTCGCTCCCAACCCCTGTCCAGAGGTCCAACCCATCTTGCCTAGAAGTGCAGCTCCCCTGCTAGGCAACGCAGGCTCGGGCTCAAGCTCAGGCCCCTCCTTCTTTTTCTTCTTAGATGAGGACTGTGGGGCGGTGGACTTTCCGAATACCTGTCTGCGTTCCTTCGCGCGATCTCTGTACTCGGCTGTGTCGTTGGGGGTTGACACGATTCCGGCTTTTGTCAATTTCCTCATGGCAGTTTCCCGTAGTTTAGGATCCCTGAGGTTTTGGAGGTGAAGGTTGCTGACCCTTTCATGCTCGTATATCTTCTCCGCAGTTTTGAACTGTCGGCTACAGAGGAGACAAGCGAGCTTTTTTAGGTCCGCAAAGGACTGGGGGGCCTGGGTTTCATCAGGTTGGTCCTCGGCCTTACGTTTCTTCGTAGATAAACCGGATCCATTGTTTTCGCTTCCGGATGTGGACTCATTGTCGCCTTTGTTTTCTTGGACCTGTGTAGGGATCCCGTGAAGTTCCGAGTGTCGATTCTGCCAGAATTGAAGATGGGCGGGAACGGACTTCTTGGTTACGGGCACAGCCGCTCCGATCACTTCCTTGTCCAACTTTTTCTTTTTCCCCTTCCCCTTTTCCTCGCTACCTTCTTTTATACCTTTCTGCCTTTCCTTAATTGCGTCATCTGATCCAACGCTGGTTTCCTCCGGCTTTGATACTGTGTGCTCGGAGACAAATCCATCATCGTCCCAATATGCTAATCTCAGCCCATTGCCGACGTGCGCACTCATCGCAGTAAACGTGAATTTGTCCGCACCTTTTGGCGCGTTGTAGACTGGTACAAAGACCCCAGGATGTATGTAAGATACAGTAACAGGTTTGCTGCTAATGGTAAACTTCTCCACTTTGGTGTAGGCAGCCAATGCGGCCTGGGCATCGGATGCTGTCGAGAATTCAGCGAACCCGTACCGCCAAGACTCATTTGTCTTTCTGTCGCGTACAAGTAAAATACGTTTTAAGGAGGATTCTTTTGCACCGATTGGTCCAGTTTTTGACGTTTCGGGAGTTTCGGAATTCGGAATCGTGAGTTTGAGGGCTCCCTTGGCAAGGAGCTCTTCATTCACCGAAGACTCAAGGTTGCGGAACAAGAGGAATTGAGAGGGTGGCGATGCAGCCATATCACGCTCCCCATCGTTGGTGAAGTGTGTAGGAGTAGGGTGAGTCAAAGTCCCGGTGACACTTAACTCTAAAGCTTTTCTTAGAAACCAGTAAGGTGTTTGGATATTCAAGGTGAATCGTACCTGATTTTGGAGTTTGACAGCGGAAACACTCCTGACGGCGCGGGTAATTTACTAGAAGGCACTGTATTTGTCAGTTAGCATTTAGTGGTCTTGGAAATAATGCCCCTGGACATAGTATCCTCTGGGGCAAGGGTGTGAAGTATGGAAACACGCACAACTCTGCATTTCCATTCTTCTTCGTCATCTCGCCTGCGGCTTCTCCGATCGCTTTCATCGCGTTCTCTCGAAAAGGCAATACGACATCTATCAGCTGAAGGACCTAAACTAACAGTAGGATAATACTGCTCCAAAAAGGCCCTGGACTGTTGAACTGTGGTGAAGTGTATGAAAGCAAACTGCCGTGATATGCCTGGATTGTCAAACCACTTGTTAGTTTCTGATAAAATTACGCGAGCCTGCGCGGTGTTTGGGTACCAGTTTTTCGCTCCCTAATGACAGCTACTTTTTCAATACCCTCAACATGCAGTTCATGTCTAAGTTCATTTATAATCTGCAATCCCCTCGACGGCCGTAAGAGACCCCCCAGGCCAAACTTTCAGCAGAGGTCCATCTAAAAAATGCGCAGACAAAAAAAAGAGAAAACAGTCAAGCTGTGTGAAAATCAGGGTGACGATGGTAAGTGTGGTGATGATGGGTGATAATGCCCAAAGTATTGGCACATCAGTCCAAAGGGGAGGGTTAACAACGTATTCGTCATCCATCTCCGGCCCAAGTCCCTCTATTATGACATCTCTGCTTGCTGGTCCCCCGTACCACTCTCGATCCCTGCTCCCGCTTCTGGAACGAGGAGCATCGCGATCATAGTAACCTCCTCCTCTTGGCTCCCGCCCGCGGCTGCGTGCTCTGTCACGGGATCGGGAGCGCGACCGGTAGCCTGAGTGTTGTTGGTGATAGCCTCGTGGTCCTCTGGGGGCATCCCGGGGTGGTGAACGACGGCGAGGCGAGCGGGACCTAGAACCGGAGCCCCCCCTGTAAGCTGGGGAGTAGGGTGAGCGATGAGAGCGATGGCGGTGGTCTCTCAGATCTCTGTCTCTGTCTCTGTCCCGGTCCCGGTCCCGCTCGTGGTCTCGGACGCTAAGGTTTTGGCGGTGCGGGCGATCAGCATAGTAAGGATCCTCGTGTTGGTCTTCCTTGTATCTTCCCTGGGGTGATAACGGTTGCTGATAGTAGGCCATCAGTAATCCGTGGTGCGCAATGAGTATATACGCGGGATATTGTGTTGTGTCTAGATGTTGAAGTAGTTGTTGCGATGTGTTTAGTGGGGAAAGAGAGAACAAGAGATGAGCTTGGCCGCCAAACAATCGTTTTGTAATTCGCGTGAGGCTTGGCAAACTCAGATGAGCAACAAAATTTGCGGACTTCTCCATTTAGGGGCATCATGCACACTTACCGAGTAATACAACAGCGCTTCCGCCGTGTCTTGAAATGCCTGGTTCCGTGTATATTGCCGTAGCATTAGAAGAGCTCATTCAAGAGAACAAAAATGGAAACAAAAGCAGTACAAGCTTGTCATAGGATCTCACTCGAGCAATACTAATGTACCATGAGTTTTGTATTCTTAGGTTGGCAATAAAGTTGGTGCTATAGACTAGACTACCTTGATGAATTTTAAGAGTTTGACGCGCAGGCATTGGTGAGGGTTTTTGTGTTTGGCAGCATGTATTTTTTTTTTTGTATCAAGATTCATTTGTATTCTAAGACAAGCTAAGGTACATGGGTTATATCACCTAATAGTATGTAGACCTACACCTCCACCCCTGTCCAGGTCCTGGTAGCTGGAAGAAAAAATGCTCCTGCCAAAGCAAGTAGGTGGAAAAAGACTCCCCAGAGTAGCAATCTGCAGTGCATACAACCAGAAAACCACATCCTAGTAGGTAAGGACAAGGAAATCCACCACCCTGACAGATGACACTCCTCAGGACAAATGAGAGAAATACTCCAGAATAAAGAAAATCTGATAACTAAAGGATCTAAGTCTACAACTATGGAGTATAAGGACTGGGTTCACATAGCCCCAGAAATCCATCAACAGCTGATCCTGAGTACTAAGTTGGATAAATATATCTGTAGGCATATGGCTTGGTAGCAGGAGTAAGGGAAAACAAGGAAGTAAGGAGAAGATATCTTCTAAGATAAAATAATGAGTACATAGCTGGAAAAAGAAACCCAGGCCATCATCTAAGAGGGATTGGGATAAAGGGTACATGGTTTAGAGGAGTGAAAATAAAGGCAATAGGATACTAGCTAGTAGTAGGTTACTAGTTAGGAGAAAAGATAATGATTGACAGTTGGTGGATGTTAACTGGGAGAGGAGAAGAAGAGTAGTATGGTTCTGACTATCTATATACAATTTCTTGGGCATTGCATTGCAAGACACCTTAGCATTAACTTAATATTATACAATATTAGACCACATACAAATTAGATTGTAAGTATATGTAATGATCTGCCTTTTGAGTGATTAGTACTTGGCAATAGAGAATAATACATCTCTTTTTATTTTCAGATATGATAGCTCTTAGGCCTGGGCCTATATTAGTGATAGTACAAGAACGATGTCTTCTATCTGTAATGCCTATCGTAAACTTTTACTCATTCTGTCTGGTGTAGAGTTTGTTCATTATAATAATAATAGAGGTCATGATAATAGTAAAGAGCTTAAAGGTGTTTTACATTCGTAAGGACATTAGTAGTAAGTAGGAAAAGTACTTAGAAGTCAATCTAATTTTATTAAACTTGTACTGCCAACACTGGCATATGACGAGCTCCCCCCCAACACAGGGATACTGCTAACTAGTATACCACTAACTATAGGCTAACTAAGTCTACAGTCCTGCACCAACTATTCCTGAGTCATGCCTACATAAAATCTAATTACAAAACCATCAAACAACCTAGTACTGTCCGTGGTCCGAGTCCGTAGCCCCTCTGGTATGAAGTCAACCAGTACTAAGTGTAGCTGAAGCTGAACAAAAGACCAATCTGACGAGGTTCTTTGTCCAAAAAAATGTGAAATACTATGCCTAGTCTAAATACTGTCCCATAAAGCCTCCCCTACAATAGAAGCTCACTTGAGCATTCCCATACAATGATCCTGGAACACCCCTACTGACTACTCTGGCAACTGGCCATAAAATTCCCAAAATAAAAGAAATACCCATGACCCAAGCATGTAGACCTAAAGGAAAGCTGACTGACAGAGCAAGAGCTCCCTAGTTAAGTGGGTATGATCTATCTTAAACTATTCGAGGTGCATCACAATAGCAGTGCAGCCCAAATACCTCAATAGAAGTCACTAGAGAGATTGTATCCCTGAGCCATCGGCACCTGGCTGAACATACCCAGACATTATTCTCCACGAATTCCTCAACTTCCTCTATAGATGGCAGACCCACCATGGACTCTGTAGTAGCTGGGCATAACTAGACGCGTACTGGTAAGGGCGATGACCTATCAGAGCTAGTGACAAGTGGTAAAGGTAAGGATTAATCTCATTTAACCTGGCGCTTCTTGTTCTTCTTCTTTTAACCCCTAGGTGTAGGTTAAGAAACAGGAGTGGATAGACCATCCTCATCACCACACACCACTATAGAGGGGACACTACCAGAGGTATTATTCTGACTAGCTAAGGGTTCAGCCACAGAGGTCTCAGGCACCTGCTCCTCCGAAGGAGGTGATACTACTATAACTGACGCCACCGTAAAGAGAACTACATCACTCACACTAGGAGCATACACCTCCATCAGACTTGATGAATCAGGAATCGGACCACCTACACCAGTACCTACCACTATAGCTGCAAGCAATGGCGGGAGAACCGCTAGTATAACATTCCCCTGAGAGGGCTCCACTATTCCTCTCCTTGTCCTCTAAGTCTTTCTTTGAGATTGTGTTTTTAACAGTTGTAAGAAGAATATTGAGGTAGTCAGAAATCTGCTGATATTCCATCTGAAGCTTGTGTAACCCAAAGATTCTCCTTCTGGTAAACTCAGAGAAGTAATGGGTTAAAATAGGCTTTCTTGAATAACTGTGAAGAATAGGAGGTATAGTATTTAAAGGGAAAAAAATCAGATAATGTGATTGAGTTTTGGTTGAGTTGATACAATTTCTTTTGATGGGGTTGAAAATGGGGGGAGGAGTGATGGATGATGGTTGCCACGTACCTTGGGTGATTAGTTATTTTTGTTAACTAACAATAACCATAGCAACTGAGGGGACAGGCAAAGAGGGGATAACTGTAGGAGCATTGGCTGCCAGCATAGTGACCAAACTGTGAACTGTATTACGTTCAGAGACTAGGGCTACCAACAGAGTAGACACTTCCTTCACAGTATGAGGAAGTTGCTGAGAAAGGATAGAGACCTGGCGCTAAAGGTAAATGACTTTAGCCTCCAGGACTAAGTTCTTCTAAATGGCACAAGATAAAACCATGGATGAACATAAAGTAGATGTGGTGGAGGCGGCAGAGGCTCGCTTGGTCATTGCAATGGTAAGAAGGTGACTAAAATGAATAGCTGTAAAGATAAGTAAGAGGAATTAAGAACTTCTAGCAAATGTAGAGGGAGGAATAACAAGGAAGTCTAAAAAGGTGCACAAGGTTAAAGAAGTGAAGTATATCATGAGATAGAAATCAAGGGCTCTGATTGGTCAAAGACAAACCTTTACATTTGGAGATGGGTTGAAAGTAAGGATGAGAAAAGTACTTAGAACATTCAATCAAATTTTATTTATACTTGTACTACCAACTCCGGCATATGACAAGTCCCCACCAGGATGTGGTTAATACAAAATAGAACTACTACTAACTATAAAATAATTAAACCTCTAGCCACATAATTCAAACATTCCTGTACCATGTCCAAACACAAACACTAAATACAAGACCATCAACAGTAAAGAAAGCCTTCCTCGCCTATGCGCCTGAAGTCCTTCTGATATGGAACCAACTGGAGCCCTTGCCGCAAGTCTGTATCATACCTGACCAAGGAGTTCTAAGGACAAATCTTGGAACACCAAGGTGTATGGGTAACAGGTGAGACACAGGCTGAAGCTCTAAAACTACAGGGGTACCTAGTAAATGCAAGTTTCTTGTACAAAAAACTAAAAATCACTACCATCCCATCTATATACCATCCTGCAGTCCTGTTTACTATAAAAGAAAATAAAAAACAATTTAACTCTACAAGCAGCACAAAGATAGGAAGGAGGTGACCAAAATGTCCACTTCTGTATTAGGCGGAGACAACCTGATAAACTTCAGATTTGTTTAAACCAACTAAAATTCATTTCTGTAGACGGAGATTGTCTAGAAAGGCTTAGACTTTGCTTGTTTTATTTATGACTACTGAGAGTGAAGTAAAATAAGTAAAGTAGAATCGAATTGTAAAGATAAAATTATATTGATAAGGTTTCTTCTCCATTGCTTGATAATGTCTAAAGCTTAGGAGGCACTTCAATATTTATATTCCACGTCAGAGTATTTGTGGACTACATCTATTTATTATACAACTATGTAACTCTCTGATTATAACTTACGATACAAATATCTAGAGACCCTGAAAATTACCACAACCTCTTCGGCAATTACGATATAACTAACTAGGAACTATACTGTTCCCAATAGTAGTTATTCAATCATTAGAGTCTTTAGACTTATGGCCTAGTTCTCAAGTCGAACTGAGTTGGCTCCAATTGTCTCCATCATTGATGAAATGATCAGTTTCATCTGCGGATTGTATCTGTGAAGGTAGTCGTAATTATAACCTTTCTAGGTTGCCTGACTTCAAACCTTCATAACTCCTTATCCAACTGATAGATATCTTCTGGAGGATTTCCTACTAATTCGCAGAAAGCTATTCCACTGGTTTGATAAATATTCCCTCAGTTGGCAACCTTTGGTTACTCTGGATAACAGGATTTCAATCGCCATTGTTGTATTGGGAGTTGTCCCCACAGCCACAACGTATTCCGAAATCTAGTTGTAACACTTTGTGAAGTTCATTGGCTTCCATGGTAGTATTCCTAGGAGTTCTAAACTCTTCTGGTTATTGTACAGTAGATGTGAATGTATTGGTCTCTCCTTGAGATCCATTACTATTCGATAGCATTTCTTTATGCGAAACGTCCCATTACTGATGGCCTATGCCAAAGATGTTACATTATTGAAGCCTAGTAACTCCCTGAGTAGTTGTCCGATTTACTATATTCTACTTCTCAGACCCAGCGGAAGGTCCCCTCTCACACATCCT